GGGGAAAAGACTGGAAATAAATTATTTGCATTGATATGTCCTGATGACAATTTTAAAGAAAACAAAAAAAGTGTTTGCATAAATTGAAGAATTATTTCCTATGTTGTGATTGAGAGGTTATGTTGAGGGAGGGGGGCGATGACAACTTCCTCATTGGCTCAAGGGGGCGATTCGTTCAAAAAGGTTAAGAACCACTGGTTTAGCCAATTAGCCCAGTTTCTGGTTTGGCAGGGCACTCAGAGCATAAACTAAGCACAGGGATGGGTTCTCACCTTTAGTTTGAGGTTTAGTGTGTTTTTATGAGGGATGCATAGGAGTCCCAGAGTTAAATTCTTCTTTCTACTCCTATTCTCCCTTGTCCTTCGTTCGGTTTTCCCTTTCATGTCCTCTTGTTTTCTTGTTCTATCGCTTTCCTTGTGCTAGATGCCTCTTCTTTTCTCCACTCCCTTTTTCTTTCACACGTTATTTTGTGTCTCTGGCATTTTTGTCAGCCAAATGTGATCACGCTGAACTTTGTTGAATGGCACTGGGGAGCATAGATCAGAGACAAGGGGTCTCCCCAGGTATTGGAGAGTACCTGGGACAATCAGGTTTTAATTCTGACCAAAAAATAACCTCAGTGCCAACTGAAAAGCCAGATAACATAAATCAAGACACAAAATGAAGCAGAAGGAATGAAACCATAGAATAAAGGCATACTTTCTAGAGGAAAATTATTTCAATTTATCAACCAAAAGCTTTCACAGCAGGAAAGTGGCTCCAACCTTCTGCATGTGTCACACTGCTAAGATTACAGCACAACCTTCCCAGAAAGATGAACCGCTGGGCAGGCTCAGGTGGAGGCTGGGGGGGGGGAGCGGGGGTCATGTGCCCCTTCAAACAGGCATTCGCTTTTGATTCAGGAGAAGAGAGTCAAGTCCACCTGGAATGGAGAGTTTTTTTAAATAGGGGTACAGGTCGGTGAGAAGGGCTGCTTGGTTAGGGTACTAAACCATAGGGAGTGTGGGACGTCCAGGGGACTTATTCCTGTTGCCCTGTCTGGAAAAGACCAGGACAAAGGGGGACCCCATCACCACTGCCATGTAGTCTGTCTTCTCTCCCCCTCTCCTCCAGTCTGTTTGCTCTTAGGAATGCAAGAAAATAAGATTCCAACCAACACTGTTGAAATCTTACAGATAAGGCTTAATAAAGTGATGGATTTCCTAGGCAGGGAATCCTAGTCCTAAGAATTTCAATATACCATTCATTTACCACCATCTGAAATTTCTTTTTTCTTTTCTCTTTCCTTCTCATAGTTGTAGCAGTTGCAATGTAAATGTGCCCCCCTTCACAGCTCTCTCAACAATCTGCAGTTTCCATTTTACAGACTGAGAACTAAGATGAAAGAATACTCTGGAGACTGAGGCTAACCTGATGACAAGATCATTTGCAGGGTTTTAGACCTGTAACTTTCTGCTAAAGAAGATCTTTTTAAAAAAAATCTCAAAGGTCTGTCAGTGGTTCTGGCTGGGGAAAGGGAAAAGCACTTTGCACATGTACAAAAGGACCCATTTTCTTCTCTGGAACTCTGATGCCCTTTCACTGACAACCAAGTATTGTGAGAACCTGTTGACTTTAAGTGACACAGAACCGGTGCAAAGATTTCTATAGCATAAGAACTTAACTCACTTGAGTTATAGTGGTGAGCAAGCCAAGTTCCAATGGGAGAGGATGGAGAATGCAACTGCCTTTATTTCCCAGGTATCCAGTCTGTGCTGGTGGCTTTTCATAACAGTTGAACATAAGTTTATTAGATCTTCCTTTAGCTTGCTGGGACTAGACACCACTAAAGTTACTTTCTGCCAAGTATTCATAGGATTAGGGTAGTTTTCCAAGGTTGATTACATGAGGATAAATTGGTGTTGCAGGTTTTACTGGAAACACCTTTGTGTGTGGAATGTGTGTGTAAGTTAAAATTCTTGAAAAACCTCAGTAAAGCCGAGAAGGTTGGAATGAATATTGTGATTGTTTCTTTGCAGAAAAAAATAAAGTTCAGCATTAGTAACAATTATATTCTTGAGATCAATGTAATTTATATCTACTTGAATGGATTAGGCTAATTAGTCACTGCAATAATCAGTTCTGGGGTAGAAATTTGCAAGACTGAAAGCCTTAAATGGCTTGTCTTCCCTGGTCTCCAAGTCTGGGTTCAAACATCTCCTAAGGCTAAGCCATAATGTGGTTTGACTGGTTCTACTTAATGCAATCTGTCAGCCAAAGCATTGTGGTTTGTAAATCAATGTTTATAGCTTAACGTTTTGAACAAATCCTGCTAATTGTAACTTATTACACAGCCCATGATTAAACAACCATGGCATCCTGTAATTTATAGAGAGCTAGTGGGTATATACCGGTAGACAGGGACATGATTAGCAGCATTAACTTTTCAGCAAGAGTACACTTTAAAGCTGCAATACTAAATGCATGTGACAAATACATTTAATTGAAATGGATGGGATCCACTTTCAACTGATGCAATTTGTTGTATTTATATTTTACAAAGAAATTTTAAATATTACTATCACCACTGGGTTTTTCTTTAGTGGCAAGGCTTGACATTGAGCTGGAGCCATTGTTTTTTTTTTTAAAAAAAGCTTGCTTTATATGCACTTTAGTTTGGGATTCAGTATTTGGTTCTATGTGCATCATTTCATTTTAATAGTAAGGAGGACACTGCAAACACCCATAGTTCAGTCTCATTTATATGTAATCTTTTTATCATTTCTTCCTTAAAATAATTGAGAATTTTCCAGAAGTAATACAGCTGGGGAAAGAGACTTATTTTCTCTGACAAACCAAAATTATTTTCACTAATAATGGGGCAGAAAGAAATATAGCCAGAAACTACGAATATGCATATTTAGATCATTTGGGAGAGGGTTTCAGTAATTTATATAACTATATGTAGAAAACATTTAGATATATGGAAAAAATGTAAGCATTTTATTTTCTTTGTTCAATCCATTTCTATTAGGTTTTTTTTCATATATCTCAACCACCTAGGATGATTTCTTGGCATGGAAGTGAATAGAGTATGTGTATCACCCTCTGTCCACTTATCTTGGGCTAGGCCACATTAAACTTTTTGACCTAACTTTAGAATAGACATTGTACTTAAGGAACTAAATCCAGTTGACTCCAGCAATATAGCGATGATCCACAAACAACTGCTTTGCTTTCACTTGGTCTTCTCTGAAAATATGTTCTTTACTTAAGAAAAAACTGAGTTTAGTTAACCAGACCCTTCCTCTGAAATTCCAAGTCATATGCACGATATCAACATAATTTCTTTTAGCAGATGGGGGGGATCTAAATATTTACATCAAAAGAAGACAGCAGGTATATGTAAAATTATTTAATTACTGTAAGCAAGAGAAAGCATAGAATTGTGCTTTTTTCTTTTTTTGCAGACTGGAGAAAATGAAATACTTAGCTACAATATCCCTGTAGAAACATAAAACAATAGACATATAGGATAAACACTCTCACAAATGTGTAACTGATGAGTGAAGAACGAGCACACACATGCACACACACAACACACTCATTTTGACCAAAGCAAAGCAGAGACTGAAAGGTATTGAAGTTTCTTCAAGAGATTTATATTTTCAAGCCTTCCCACCCACCCTCAAAAAGCTGATCTCTTCAGAAAACTATTTTCCAGAAAGGCTTTCAGGCAGCTCATTGGAGAATATCAATGTGCCTGTTAATCTTTAACCAAGTTAGTACTGTACCATATACATACTGTACATATGTATTAAATGTAGATAAAAAGCCTTCATCTCAATTTACTGGTTTCTTTAGAAAGAATAAATGAAAAGGGTTCCTGTATACTTTATGGCTTCTTATATGCATTTTTGTGCCTTTTCTTTCTGGGAGAAAAATAACCACACATCCCTATCCTTTCCCATATAAAATGAACTCATTCCCATGTTCCTCCATTTTCTCCAAGGCCTCCCTTGCCCTCCCCTCCCCAGCATTAAAAACAATTACCGGTATGTTCAGTAAATGTAAACATCCTGGGAAACAGACAAGGCCCATGAAATCCTTTTGATATTGTCAATTGCTTCCAGGTTAGCAGAGATGGAAACTAGCTTTCCCACTTTCATGGCAAAGGACCTGTAGCTGCTTTAGCAGGACTCCCCCTACCCCCACCACATGAAGCATCTGTGAGGGCTGAGCCAACGGGATTTATTTAACCACCATCATCGAAACTGCATGAAACAAAATATTTTCTTTATATATATGTCATACAATACTGCTTCCTGTTTTGTCATATAACAATATGGCATTCTTCCACAAGCTCACAATGAATGCCACAAGAGCTTATCTTGTTTTCTTGCGCAATTTTTTCTTTAAACCAGCCAGTAAAATAAATGGCAATACCTGCTATAAATCTGAACTTGGACTGTCCCTCTTCCTTTTCTTCCATACAATTTTCCTCTTCCCTTCCTTTCTGGTCTTTAAAGGCTTCAGCTATTGCACAGAAAAGTCATGGATGCAAACTACAAATCAAAATGGCTACTAAAGCAAATGCATTGTTATTCATAGTGGTGTGGCTACATATATGCATCATTTTATGCATATTCAATCTTGCATTTGTGCATTTCACATCTCAAGGTGGAGAATGAAAAAAAATCACTTGCTTTCAATGAGAGTCCACAAAACAGCAGAACCACAGTTCATAATCTGAACATTATGTAGGAAATGAATCTGAATTTACAAAATTTGGGTTTCATTTGTGATAGCCATCTATTTACAGACACGTCTGACTCCAAATCAGGAAACAGATCAATAATTGGAAGTAAAAAATAAAATACTCCAGAAATATCTGGATTGGTATTTTTTTTATATTGCTGCAGTGGTTGTTTAATATAAAAAAGTCCATCTCTTGTCCACCCATTTCATATCTAATCATTATTACTCTTTTATTAACCATCAGGCATAGACACTTGTGGAATTTGTAACTATAAAGCTTAATGGTGTGGCACAATAGAGACCGAAGGGCAGAAAAAGAGCCATAACCTGTAACCTTGGCATCCAGTCTTGAGAATCAGAAAGGAGAGTTTATACAGGTCAGCCAGAAGAAGTCACAGAACAACTGTTGACTGACACTTTTTGGGTTCTGTTGGTAAAGTAGGCATGGTGGTTACTGCTGGGGCTGCCACAGGTTCCATTCATAGTGCTAGAGATGTGGGGGAACTGGGGGTGGGGAGACTGCACAGGAGTGCTATGATTACGCACACAGGAGGAAGTGGAAGGAGTGCCTCCTTCAGGGCTGCTGGCTTTTTCACTGCCAGAGTCACTTTCCAGGTCCCTGCTGTTGTGCAAGCCATCGTGCTGCTGGCCACCAATCTTCATTCTCTTGCAAGTCTGACGCACACAGTACTTTAAAGGGAGGGGGCCATACTGCCAAAGAAAGCCAAAAGGGAAACCCTCATCAGAAGGTTTATTTTTGTTTCTCACCCCTCTAGCCCAACCTGCCCCAAACTTGGAAGGCCTCTTGATGTATTTACCCTTCTCCAAGTGTAAATGTATGCTATGTCCATTAGTGTGTAGTAGTCCTTCAAAGGCTCTTCTTCATACATGACATCAACCTAATAAAAGAGATGAAATTAAACTTCATTTAACATGGCATGGAAGTGGGAAAGACTACACAACTGCAATGTGGTATCTACTATACTACCTTAATCCAAACATCACACATTCTAGCTGAAATTCAAAAATATGTTGACTCAGTTGAGAAGACTTTTGCTTTTACACCCAAGAGCTTACAATATAATGATTGGGGAGACACTTTGAAATCCAGTCCTGTAGGTCTTTTATCTAAAGATGCTGCAGCTTAACTCCAGAAGCAAAAGCAATTAACAAAGGCAATTCAATTGAGCAATCTTTAACATGAAAAAGACTTCAAACATTTTTCCCCCTGTCTAAAACAAGCATTTATTACAGTTTTCAGGGATAGGGCAACAGAAAATCTGACAGCCTATGAAAAATAGATCTTTAATTCTCCCCTTAAGATATAAATTTTCCCTTAATAATGAATTAGAATCCACATTTTTCCACTTAGACGAGAGTGCAGTTTAGTATTAAGTTGCAGAAAACACTATGACCAATTCTTTTCAAAAGAATTGAAGTTTAAATAATGTCTTTTGCTAACTCTTTTGTGAGCATTCTTCCCTATCAATTTCCATAGGTCAGGAGTACCTGAAAAGCATTCGGTATGTCCATTTTGCTCCGGAGAAACTTTCTCAAGTGCATTACAGTCATTGCTGCAGGACAGCGTAAATATCTTTTATCTTTGGCCTGGGAGGGGTATTTGGTTGAGACAATAATAGACACCATTCAAAATCTGATACTGAAGTTCATTTGAATACAGTTAGATAGAAATACATGGAACTGTGGTTAAAACTAGCTGTATGAAATCTAAATGCTCACTGGTGATCCAAAATCAATGAGGTAAGATACAAAGTACGTGTTTATTAGGTTTTTTAAGGATTTAATTAACACACACAAACTTTATTCTTAAAAATTAAATATACTAAGGGGAAAAATAGGAGGAAGTCCCCCAATACAAAAAGAACCCCCAACTTATTTTTATCAACCTTTTAAAGGCCCTTTAATTTTAATTACTAAGAAGGCATATTCATTGTCTGCAGAATAACTACTACTTAAGGAAATAAAAACAAATATTAATATATTTTATTTTCTGAATAAGGAATGTAAGTATCAAGGAACCAACAATCTACTTACCTCCTCTTTGGCTTTCTCTTTCTCATTGCTTCCTTCCTGTTCAACTCTAGAAAAAGGACATATACTATTATAATGTCCTATTATAATGAATGTACTGACAAAGTAAGATACTACTTTTACAACTCACCTATTTTGGTCAAAGAACTCAATAGACAAGCTTATTATCTCATCATCTGTTATAATCCTTTTGTCTTCATCTGCAACTTCTCCTCTGTCTTCATTAGAGCCATTGGCAGCTGCACAGAAATTTTCACAGCTAGTTATATTTTAAAATTCAAATCAGAAAGAGTAAAAAACTTTATAAGATGAACAGGTTACCAACTTTATTTGCTTTGCATGATCACTGAAATATATATAAAATATTTTTACAACCTCAGCTTCTGCATTAAAAGGAATTCTCTATAAAATCATAAACTTAGAGACTTTTTTTACCATCAGCATATGGATGAGCAGCATAAAAATCTCTTCTTCTTTTCATTTCATCTAAGAGAAAGCATATTTTTGTTACTCATCTCTTCAAGTTCAACACTTTTTATTACTGCATTGTCTATTCAATCTAAATGCTTACTTACTTTTGAAAAGACCTGGTACTAACTTGTACACAATGTCCTGGAGAGTTTTATCAGACCTGAAATATAAAATCCGAGACACTCAATTTAAAATGATGTTAATATTCACAACTTTCCAGAACCAAAAGTAGCTTGGTTGAGAATTTTTAACCAAAGCTTTAAGCAGTTTTAAATTGTTTTATATAATTTTTAGATCTATGCTATTAAGGTATCTGTCTTTTTGTTTTGCTTTGGTAGAAAGATATCTGATTAGACTGACACCATTTTAAAAATGTAGGTACTTAATAAAGAGATGTAACCATAAAAGAGCCAATGAAATGCAACTCAGTAAGGAAGATTTCTGAAAAGAAATTAACTTTTGCATTTCTTTATCAATATTTTATATTGATAAAGATCAATACTGAAAAAATACAGGAAATTAATATGCACACTTACAATGAGAAAACAGAATTTTAATTACAATTTGGACAGGGTAAGAAAGAGGATAAAAGGAACAAAGATGGGCTTCTGATGTAGAAAAAGAAGAAAAATGACTGACTGAAATGCAAGACAGATGCTTATGGAAACAATACAATTATGAACTATCCTGAACTAACATCTTTTTTTCAGATTTGTGTTGGCAATGAGGTTGCACCCAAAGAAATATTAAATGTGAAAAGTCACAATATGACAAATTATTTAGTTGTCTTTTTCCTACCTTATGTTCAAAAGAGGCCTAGTTTTGTGAACTTGGACATCGCAAATGGGACAATACTTGCTGCTCTCCAAGTAGTGCACAATACAAGTCTTACAGACTACAAGGGAAAACATAGACATAGAATTGTGCAGAAATAAGATTATAAAACAGAATCAAGGCAAGGTCTTCAGCTGTTATTCCTAAACCCAGAGACACTGCTCCACCAGGACCAAGGAGGGCTGGCTGGCAGCAGGCCCCTTTCCCTGATGAGAAGCAACCAAGCAGGACTTACAGGAGTGCAGGCACTCGATGATCGTGGTAGCATCAATGAAATACCCTCCGCAGATTACACACATGAGATGGGGGTTGAGCTCGGTAATTTTGATGCAGGTGGTGCGATGCATTTTGGCTCAATTCGAAGAAACTCTAAAAGACAAAGAGGAACGTTTTAAAAACCCTGGGGAAACTGCGGAGGTGCGGTCCAACACGATTTCTTCACTTCCCCGCGGCTAAAAGTGGCCTCCCCCTCAAGGAAAACAAACAATCCAGTTCAGGCGAGAAAAAGGCAGCGAAGAGCCGCAGAGCCAAGAGCCTTAGCGCAAAGAAGCAGGAAGTAAAGGGGTCTCCTTCCCGGGTGCTCTGCCCAGTGCTCACCTGCCCGTAGCCCAGCGCAGAGGCGCTCAGAAGAGGGGATGCCTGAGGCGGGCGGAGGAGGCTCCTCAGGGCACCTGTCCCGGGACAGGCCGCCCTTCCCCCATAGCACTGCCGGAAAATCGCAGATCGGGGCTGGGGAGGGGGGAAGCAATCTTAGTGCAGACGCGGACGTTGCCCTGGGCATTTCCGGCGAGAAGAGGAAGGGGGTGCGGTGGCCGTGGTTGAAGCGGCGAGGGAGGGCTGGCAGGCTGGCTGCTGTTGAGGTTGGACCCCGCATCTCGGAACAAGGGCTGGCAGGCATTTATAAGACGGGTCGGAGGAGGCTGGAGAAGATGAGGCCGGATCCCCGGAATTGAGCTCTGCTGCTAGCGCGTCGACGCTGCCGCCAACACAAAAGGCTCGGAACCGAGCCGCCTTCAGAACCGTTGTACCGACGGGGGTTGCTATAGCAACTTACACTTATACTTGGCATCCTGCCACCACCCGGAGCGCACCAGGGGGGAGGAGCCAGGCTGGGAAGGGAGGGCTTGGGGGGGGGCGCAAGGAATAGCCGCGCTGCCTTGGAGACTCGGCGCGGAAGAGACCTGAGTCCCTTCTGGGTCAGAGGTTGGTGTCCCCGGGGTAGGGAGTAAGCGGGGGGAAAGAAGGCCGGGCTGAGGGTGGTGCTGTGGAAAGGAACCGGGGGCATGGCCGGGGGTGGGACCCGGGAGAAGGACCCCGGTCGGGTGCTGCTGGTGAAGTCAAAGTTCCCCTTCCGAGCAGTCCACTGCGGGGGGGGGGGAGGGACGCGTCGCAAGAACAGAAAGCTAGGACGCCAAAAGCTGGGCTGGCGGTAGGAGGCCTCGAGGGCGGCCAGAGCCAGCACTGGGGTCGACGCCAGGTCGAAAGCAAGAGGCTCCTCTCAGGCCTTTCGTTTTCTCTCGGGGCCTCCGCCCACGGGCAAGAAAGTAGCCTCTGTTTCTTCTCCCTTTTCCCCTTCCCGGCTCCTGTCCGCCAGCGCGGCTCAGCCGTGCAGGGTCTGAACTCTTGGATCGCCAAAGCACAGAGTTAAAAGTTGGACCCTCTCGGGCTCGTGGAGACTTTAGAGGGGCGTCAGCCTGTGCAACAGACCAAGCCCGGATCCAACAGTGTCCTAGCACACCCACCTCCGGGCCTACGTGGGCATCCTGCTCTGGCAGCCCAAGCTTGTCCGGCCGCAGGTCCCGGGAGGGCTGCAAATCTACCCGCGGCTCTCGGACTACAGCCGAGAAGAGAAGAGAGCAGAGCAAGTATCCAAGAAAATCCTCACCCGAGGCACCAGCAAGGAAAAGATTACGGAGGGAGGGAGGAAGGTTACGCTCAGCCGAAATAACAGGTTCCATTCCCGCAGCCTCGAACCACCCTGTTTTATTCTGAACACACCGCAGTCGAGGCAAAATGCGCTGCCGCTTCCGAAAGTGTCCTGAATTCCTGCCCAGTGTTCCCAAAGGTGCGGGTGGGTGGGAGACGCGTCGGGGGTATAAATGGGATCCCTCACAACAAAACCAACTACCAAACTTCACTTGTTCTACGTGCCTCTTCCCAGGGTGGAAAAAGGAAAGAAAAAAGAAGGAAAGATGCCACTGCTGCATGGAGGGAATTGCTATTTTTTTATCATCCTTTGGGTGGAAAAGCAAAAGATATACAAGTCTGGAGCAGAAGGGAAGAGAGATTCAATAACCTTGGCCTTAGAGCTGGGTGTTGGCAAGGAAAACAGGAACACCCCCCCCCCCCCCGCCTAGCCTCGTCCACTGGTTCCAGAGCATTCTTCAGGATATGAACAAAGGATATACTTCTTCCCAACCTTTAGTAGATAATCGGAATCCCTCTCATCATGATAAAACACCTCTATTTTGTTCAAACTAAGATACAGTCAATCCAGGACGCCTTAGCCAAAAAGTAGAATAAGGGGTTAAGCAATTCAGTGAACTTAAATTCTTCGCCAAGCAGTGAGGCACAGAGGAGGCAACTCAATCCGTCAGAAGATACTAACACATGTTTCATTTCACGGAAACAGAGCCTCTGCCTAAGTGGAAGAAAACTCAAATCAAGCGTGAAGCTTGGTTGGTCGAAGCTTGTTATTACCCAGGTTACCCCTTCCTCTAGGATATCGTAGGAGATATCACTGAAATCTTGCATCTTAAACCAACAATCCTGAATCTAGGCTACACACCAGGGAAGGATGACAGCAACCCCCATGCACATATAAACATGTGAAAAAGGAATCTCATTATTCAAAGCGCTAACTCGACCTGGGATGATGTTGGGATTGTTATTCCTTCGTGTTCCCTCCCCAAAGTCCCCCATCTCCTTATACTAATGTACCTTCCTGTAGCCAAGACACACTGACCTTTAACACCGGATATTGTATTTTATTTTCAACCTCCCTCCCAGACATGTATTCCACCAGGAAAGCAAGGAGTGATAAAAGCTGTTATGACAGCCAGCTGAAGCTTGGAGGCCTAACATGGGTTACCTCAACTTGGAGAAAATTATGGGTAGTTGGGTGGATGGACGCTTTAGAAATTAACAGGCACTAGATCCCCTGAGGTGTCATTTCAGCAAGGGTATCTAAAATAACTAGGTTTGCAGGGGCAGATATGCAATCTGGTCATCTATGCCTTGATTAGATGCTCCAGTTTTAAATTTCTCCCCTGAAGCATGAGATACTCCCTCAAAAAGTGTGGATACATCGAGTCGTATTAAAGAAAAAAAAAATGGGTATGTTTTGTATCATCAACCCACATTCTCTCCAGCTAAGCTCCTGCATCCAGTGAATGGACCTCCTAGAAAAACCAACAGGTGGCCTCCTGCAAAGACAGGTTGTGTTCCTTTCCAGCTATTAAATATTGAATACATTGGGTGGGGGTGCTCAGCACCAACCAACTATAATACTAACAGATGGATTCTAGTTTACAGCGACCACGGCAGAGAAATACACAACTACACAAATCAGTCTCGCCTTACACTTCAAAGTTATATTTTGAATGCCAAGAAGGACCAGTTGAAACAAAGAAGTACTAAAGTAGTGGGAGAATAACAAAAACGCAAGTGTGGAACAGGCAGGGGAAGCTGTGAACACATGACTAACTTTCCATTTGGGGAGAAAGGTTACTTGCAGGGAGAGAAGATTGGATCAGATGCCCCTGACTTACTTCCTCCACCAGGCATTAAAACAACAAAACAAGCTGAGCTGTAGTGGGGTCTACATTGTCAAGGCCGAGCGATTTTTCATGAACCAAGTTTCCTGCCCAAACACCCCGAGAGTCAGGAGCAAAGCCATCACATCTCGGCTAGTAACAAGATGCTTCAGTTAACCTTCCCTCATCCAACTTGGAACTGTGTGGGGAAGAGCCGAAATCCCGGCTAAATAATAGAAAGTTGCATGTCCTATTACAACGCAGTTCCCCCAATTCTCCAACATGTTTACTTCTTTAAGAATTAGACACGCGGTAACTTCTCTCCTGAAAGGTACGTTTCCAGCATCAATCTCCGCTCTCCCATCCTCCAAAGCCGGGAGAAACTTCAGCATTTTAAGCACAAATGCGAAAGGACACGCTGAAAGAGAACCGCCACCGCCATCTTACCAAGCCATGTCACACCACACAAGTGTTAGCCGAACTTAAGTTAATAACATTTCTCCGGGGCTCCCCATCGGCTCGGTGAACCCTCTAGCAAGATCGCAACCCTCCGCAGAACTCACCTCTATAAAATGGGAGCGCTAGGTGGCTTTTGAATCCCCCGCCGACCCGTTTGTTTCGTAAGCGATCGCCTTCCCAGTCAGCTCAAGATTGCGTGAAGTGTCCCTCTTCAATCGAGATCTGCCTATAAACAAAGAGGGATGGACTCGAATGGCAAGTCTCAGCCGAAAATACAAATCTCCTCCTCCGGGGCCGTGCATCCAAGAGGGCTCTACGACCGAGCTCAGGGGGAAAGGGAACGAAAATTTGCAAAAATTGGTTGCAGAACGAAAGCAAGTGCCTGGGCTGCTACTGCTGCCGCCGGTCTCTGGGCGCGCGCGAGGAGTGAACTGTGCATGTGGCTGAAGCCGAGACTGTCAGCGCTTTTCCCATATGGAGAGTTCGGGGACACCGAAGCTTACCCTAGCAGCCTTCCAACCCCCGCGAAATCCCCATCGCCCTTCGGCCTCAGCTAAACACCTACCCGCGAAAAGCCGCTCCCGGTGGACGACCGAAACTGCCGGGAAAAGACAAAGTTAAAAGTCGTTCAGCAGAAAATGAATGTGAGGCAAGCGGCCATCTTGAAACGAACTATAGGGGCTGTCAGTTGCAATCAGCGTATTGCTGCCGCCACCGCGCCGAGTTCCTTTTAGTTCTCCAAACAGCCGGCCGGATCTACTCGGGCAAACTCAGAGTCTGCTTGCCTTTCCCGTCCTCTTCTTTTCGGCGTCTCCTTTTCTCTCTCTTCTTTTTCCCCACCTTGCTCGCTCTTTAAAATGCGTAGCTCCAGTGTTGAGCTCTTAAAATCTTTCCAGCCCGTCTGGACTGCCAGTCTTCCCCTTCCACCACCAGCCCATTGTCTCTCCGTGTCCCAAGCTCTTCTTCCGGCTCAGTCTATCGGTTTCCCCCGACCCGGTCTTGCTTTTTCCCTCTCCTGCCTTCGAGAGAGTTCTTTCTTTCCCCAATTTCCTCTTTGCAAAAATAATAATCTCCAAATATTTGCATTAGATCAGAGTTGCTGTTGTGGAAGGAGCAGGCGGGGATGTATAGTGGAGAGGCGTGTGGCGCTGGAGATGGAGGGAGCGCAGCACTGAAGGCGCACAGTGGAAACTAACGCCGTCCCCCAAATGGCTCAGAGTTCGCCCGCCCCGCCAGCGTCACGTGGGACTTCTCATTTCTTAAGGGTGGCCTGGGAATTACCGTGCGCGTAGTCGGACCCGTCAGCCTCCCTGTGACCTAATCCCGCGACTCAGACGCCCCCCTCTGTCCTCGTGCACCGCCCTCCCCTTCCCTCCGCCTGCTCTTTCGCTTCTCTCCTTCAGACGCGAGCGCACTCACACTTCGCTAGTTCTTTTCTCCGCGGCACTTAGCTGCAGCCTCCTCCCGCTCTTCTTCCCCCCTCGCGCACTCACTCACGCGCGTACGAAACTTCATTCCTTTCCTTTTCCCTTCCAGCTTGCACACCTGCTCCGCTCTTTGCACACGGCACCCATTCCTTTTCCTTGATTTTATACGCCCTGCCACCTCAAGCGAGCATTCCCTATCTTTTTCGGTTAACAAGGACTCACAGAGATCTTCCTCTGCCCCCTTTCCTTGCCTTTTCTTGGCTAAAATCTACCCTTTCGCACAAAAACGCTAGTCCCCCCCCCCTTTTAAAGGCGCAAAAAACTGACGGCAACCACAGACAGACCTTTGGCTTCAGTCTCTCCACCCCGAGCCTCTGGTAATGAAGCTGCTCTGCTCTTTTCTCTTACTGCCTGCCTCCCTCCCCTGCGCGCCACACACACACACACACAGAGAGAGAGAGAGAGAGAGAGAGAGGTTGCCCACCATTTTCGCAGTGTTGTGCTCCACCCTAGTTTCCACCTCAGCACCTCCCCAGACCTCCTTTGACCCCAGACCTCTGGTTGGCTTCCGCTCTAGCCTAGACTCTAGGATTCTTTTCCCACAACACCGACCCAGATCTAACATTCTTCCTCCACGTGCTCCTGGGCACCTCAGTGTTAGGATACCTCAGAAATCTTAGAAAGGCGGTCCAAATGATACTATGAAAGTTGAGGCTGGAAAACGGCAGCTGAAACCATCAACCCCGAGCATCATCTCAGCACTTCTACCTTCACTCGTTTCAGTTAGAGCGGATTTTCCCCGCCTTGGCATCCGACCCGCCGCTTCCCAGGCGCGCGCGACTTCTTCAGCCCCGGCGCAGATCCCACTGCCTTCTGGTCCGGCTCAGCATTTCGGGCAACCCTTTGCCTCAACAATTCTAGGGTGCCACCATTGGAACAGGTTGGGGCTCCAGATTTTTCTTCCACCTTGGCAGGTCTTCATGGGATGCATATTGTAGGTCCCTGGGCAAACAGAGTGGAATGTTATTGTAGAAGAGAGCAGGCATCACAAAATGACCCTTTAAACACTTTTCTCTTAGATCTGCTATCACATTGACTTTGAAGATAATTGCCTGTATTGCTCCTTGTGTATGGCAAACACTGCTATCAACTTTTTATTGATATTAAAAGTATCCACCACCACCCCCCAAAAAAAACTCTAATGAAAGAGGGCTTTTTACACCCTCCTCTGCAAGTTTCATCCATATGAATGTGTTTTGATACAATATTGTCATTCTCGAATTCCGCAGAGATCAGGAAACTGAAGACAATGGTTAAAAAATATCCTTACAATCAGTCCTCTCCAGAAAAATGATGGAAGGGAAAAGGAAATATTCCTGAAAAGCATTATTTCACAATAGCTTCAAACATCCACCAGGGAATGAAATCCAGATCAAGATCCTGCTGTAGACTTCACTGTATAATACTGTTCAACTCTGTTTGCTGTGAGGATGAGGATGATCACACTTTCCTCACCCTGTATGATGAAGTAGTGGAACAACCCTGCAGTGGACGGCAGGTCATTCAAGATCCTTAAGCAGGGGTTTGTTGTGCTCATTAAGAAAGGTTGTAAATGAGAGTCAAGCACTGGCTGTTTAAACCTTAATATGGCAGAACTCTTTTTTTTTTTTTTAAGTAACAGAATCAGAGCTAGGGTGTTGAGTTTCCTTCTTCCTCCTTGCAAGCCATATTTTATGTAGGTAAGTTGCCTCAAAGCATATTTTGCACTACAGTACATAGTTAAGACCGGTGCATGAAGATCTTTTTACTTTGATGGCACCACAGGACAAAATTCCTTTGCCTCTGCATTCTTACAGATGACATAGGGATAATTTTCACAACCCTGTTTCCACAGCAAGATTTCACATTCTCTCCACATAGCAAAAAAACACTTAGAAGATAAAAGGGAAATGAGAACTCAAGTCTTTGTGCACCCCACCCTCCAAATACACCAGACTGACATTGCTGCCCCTCTAGTAGTAGGTGTGACCTGGGGATGAGGATAGGTTTTTTTGTTTTGGTTTTTGAGCCAAGGAGAGAAAGCTGGTCATACTCTATAGTCATTCAACTGCCACAATTCAGGACACTCCAACTGTTTTCTATTTACAGAGATGGTTGAATGTTTAATAAGTAAACCCAGGTTGAAGCAGATGAATGAATGGAATCTTTTCAACTTTTCCTGTAAATCACTTCAACATTAAAAGGGGGAAAACAGCAGGAACACACCTTCACCAAAATGTGGTGCAAGCAAGTCCCAAAGGTGCTTTTCAGCACATGCAAGCAAGGTGATGACTTCATTACAATAGAATGGTGTTTAGATCCAGAGCTCTACAGCTCTTTAACATGATTTTGCTGGGTGGAATATCTTGGAATGTTGGAGCTGCTAAGAATCCAGTCCCTCCCAACTCATTATTATAGTCAGATAAGACACACAAACTAGATTCATGTTCACTTGTTTATTAGATGATAAAGTAGATAATGGGGAAATCAAAGATTTATTTTAAAAAAGGGCACAACTGAAACACAGATATTTCAGAAATGTATAGCTATCTAAACAGATATCACAGTTGTTTAACAAGCTCAAGAGATTTTATTACACACAAATCTTGCAATGTTATCTAGAAAGTAAATGTTCCATTTTTGTTTGACCAAACATATATCAAAGTTCCATTAAATAAGAACCAGGAAAAAGATTATATAGTCAAAGAAGCAAGCATTTTCTTTTCTTCAATGTAGTTGATTGCCAAGTGTGTAAATTATAGTTGAGTTTTCCTTTCTAGACTTTTAGCTGCGTCTTTTAACTTTCCAACTAAATCCTAAAATATGAAATAAGAGCTTCAGAAAAGAAATATTTTGCTATAAATAACTAATTTTATTCATTATTAGAAATTCCCTTTGTACCAAAAATCCAAGTGACTTAATGTGTTTTTCTGCCATTTGATATGTTTAGGAAACATAGAAACTACTTCATTATTTTAATTAGTGTACATCATGAATGTGCCTAAAGGGAACATTGTTGTAATAACATTATCACATATAAAATTAATGAGTTTGGACTGGGACACATAGGTTGATAAAATATTTTTTCTTATTTCTCAAATAATACACAGAACAATATACTTTCTTACAGCTTAATTGAATATAAAGAAGTAAACTAACCCAACAATTTTCTGAGCTGGCAATCCTAAAGTTATCTAATGCATTCCATTGAAACATGGGATTTTTACATAAATGTGATTTGTACCTATAGAATTTTGAAACTATATGAAACTGTAGACAGTTGCTTATTTCTTAGTTTTTCAAGTTTTGGTAAGTTTACTCCTTTTTCCCTCATTAGTAAGTTTATTAGGTTTAATGAAGCTATCAATACATAGTAGTTTACGTAAAGCCAAAAAAGCCAAATTCCATGCTCAGTACATATTATACATTCATGTATACAACACAGAAAATGGGTTTCATCTAACGTAACACATTTGAAACAGCTTCCACCCATTCTGCCAAAAATATTTTTGCATAGTGCAGTCACTTATGTGAATCAACTTGAAAACTCATATTGGAAAAATAGAAAAGCTAGTAATTCTGTAGCATTTTGTATTTTAAAAGATGTGAAGCATCTTATATTTTAAGTGAAGCATTTTATATTTTTATGCACTTTTTGTAAAGTCTGGTGCTACTCTTTCAGTACACAAAAGGGTAAGATAAAATACCTGCAATTGATCCATAGAACAAGTAAAATTAATGTCCTGATGAGATCTTGAATCAATGTTCTAAAATAACAAAATCCCAAACATTACTTGTTAATAAGTTGCGAAACTAAAGCAATAATAATTTACTAATATTTGAATTTTCTGGATGGATGCTATACCTCTACTCTTAAGGTCATCAAATAGGCAGGGCAATAATGTTTATGAAGTTGATTAGTCTAAAGAGATAAGACAGAAGGAAAAAATAAGTTTTGCAAATCAAAGTGAAAAAGAAATAATACCCATTTGATTTAAATTACCTTGATTTGATATTCCAGACACCAACAAACATCAATTACATGTAGTGGACATCTGGCTATACTGCAAACATAGTAAATAATTATTAGTCTAAGATATGCTGAACAGCATAACTGTTGCAAGTTCATATAGGTAAAAAAGAAAAGTAGCAGCAATGTATTAATTGTGGTTTTGTGGAGAACGTTACTTCAATTAGATAACTTGTGAAGATGTTTATTATTTTCAAGATGCATTTGAAAGTTGGAAGATTAATATAATTTCCCTGGACATACCTTTCCAATATGATTTCCAAGTTATCCTTATGTATCTACAAAAAGGGAAAGGATAAAAGTAGAGTGTGTAAGCTTCTACAGATTACACACACATTAATGGAATGAAAAAAGATAAAATGTGCTTAGAAACCTGATATTCAGTGCAAAAATGTTCAATTCTTTCTCTGTTGAATTTACAGTCTTCTAGATAGGTGCTAAAAGGAAAAGCAAGATGTGTTACCAATAAATCTAATACAAGTCAAAGAATTTTTTTTAAAAGTTGAGTTTTAGAATACCTTATAATAGATTTGTCAGCTTTTTGCTTTCCAGCTTCTATTATATAAGTG